TCCCAGAACAAACCTAATTTCTAGAATGAAATCCATTTGAGCTCAAGTGATGCATTCATTCAGCCAGTCATTATAAGCCCAGATCCAATTTTACAACTATTTTTATCACAGTCATTAAGTGAATCACGTAGCTGTTATGTGAATCAGTCATTAAGCAAATTAACTTTTCCCCTATCAGAAATACCAGCTGGTTTCCAAACACCCAAAGTGCAATTGTTTATTTGTTTGTTTGTATCCCGTCTTTTATTATTTTTACAAATTACTCAAAATGGCAAACATATCCAACGCACCTTACTCTTCCTATTTATGTCATTTCAGGGGTGGTGCGGTGGTTGTAACTTTGCAGACAGGTTGTAAGTCACTTAATTCCAAGGCCATCATAAGTGTAAACCATCATTAAACAAACAATCAGAAGTCGAGGACTAGCTATATACACACAAACACACAGAGACTCTTAACTTAATGAGGTATGTATATGTTGGTTTTATATTTATATGTCCTCCTACCTTGAAATTACTCCTCTATATGAAAACTATGTTATTACTAATTTTTCTCATAAGGAGAGAAGGAACAAACTGCATAAATTTTAAACCATTATCTTATTATTACTGCATATATTTGAAGCCAAGCTTTAAATGTGCACTGTATGCTTCCTAGAATTACACGATTGTATGTATCATATAGGTGTATATGCTACTCAGTACTTGTTTAACAGTGTGTACTTGACAAGCTGTGGGTTTATACAAGTACTGTATGTTTCTATTCTATTTCTAAACCATTTTTATCTTTTATCAATTTGTGTATGTCTAACTACGATATCCCAAGATGTATGCTATTTATCTGTGTGTGTGTGTGCAGGCATGCGTGCACACAGACACACATGCTTCAGTGTATATACCTTTTGATATGTTGATCAATCAATGTTTTTAAAGATAACATCTGTATATGAAACTTTGTACATTTATATGTACATATTTCAAATGTACATTTATCCTATAAATCTGTCTCTGAGGATATACATTATATCACAGAATGCTTTACTGAATCCTATCAAATGTTGTATCTTTGAGTTTCATAATGGTAATGTGTGTGTTCTATTTCTATGAATTTAACTATAACCTTAAAATTAATTATAATTAATTAAAAATAAATCCATCATGTATTTCAGATGTTCATTCTGCATTCTGATTTGGTAATGTGTTTGTTTATAGCTCTTAGAAGCATCACACGTTTATTCACACTATCATTTTAGTATAATAGCAGCTCACAACTGTGTTACCCCATCTTGGCTTTCTGAAAATTTCTGCTAGATTAAGGGTTACCCAGGTAAAAATAATAACATTTTTTTCTTTATTTTCTCATTCTCTTCCAATTTATTATCACAGTTTGCTGTGAATTAAGACTTCTTTTTAACCGCAGTTCATCTTGGGAGGGCATACTGTGCTAGCTAAGTGTGCTTTTGAAATTGAAGATCTTCAGTTTATAAAAGTTATTTTTTTAAAAAAATAATAACCACCTTTATTTGGGGTTAATGAAGAAAGAAACCCTATCTTTGAAATAGTTCCAGAGCTTGAGAACAAATATGGTGTGATACCTTTCTTTTAAAAGCCTTGTTCTTCAGGGTATTCAGAGCGTATCTTATAATTTGTTCTGTGTCCATTGTTGATTTGTGTTGGTTGGTATTGCTGTAATATTTTAGATTAAAATATATGTTATAACTTTATCACAATATTAATAAAGTGGTAGTATGAACTAGAATGAAAAATGATGAATATATATTTTATGAAAATATTGAAAAGGAGAACTAAATGCAGAGAAGTGCTAGAAAACTTGACACTACAGCTTCTTCTATGCCCTCACCTAAGCCTAAACCTTCATCACACCAAATCCCCACTCCTTCCCAATCCTGCCATACAAGTATGCTTTGTTTAAAAGTCAAGGCCACTGAGTATATGCCAGATCAATGGAAGAGGTTGCGGAGATGTTTCTCTGCCAAAATTCAGTTTGGGATCTGGAGGAATCCAGACAAATTCTCACAATTAAAGCACTGGTCACCTTTCAGTCTGATTTCTTCTAATTTGTCATTTGGTGCTATGAATGAAAATTGTGGGAGACACCAGTGAAAAACACGTTCTTATATCATGCACAAGATCCATTTGAAACTTCCTACGCTGGTTTTCTTACACAGTTTTTCTGAACGTGTGGATGACATCAGTGTTGGAAAAAAAGTGGCTTTAGTAATTGTCCATCCTATCTCCAGGTGATGCTGATGAATTGAAGAAAGAAAAAACAAATGTAGATTCCATGTGCATGTTGAGATTTGTATCGATTTGTCGTTCTAAAATGGAAATGCTGGAAAGAATTCGCAGTTCATTTCCTTCGTTATAAACTGCACAGACAATTGCAGACAAATGGCTTTAAGCCTCCCATGGAAATGTTGATAACTGTCCTTGGGAATATGAATAGGAAAGCAGTGTCTCAGCCTCGCAGATGAGTATTTCCAGCAGGAGGAAAGTTTGCAGACAGGAGCATCGCTAAACTGGGATGCATCGGGAGAAGGGACCTTGTCTCGCTCTGCCGAAACAGCCACAGCTGAACAAAAAAGGCTCCGGTGCCAAAGCTCTCCGCGCCCACTCTACCCAACGCTGGCACGCAGACTCCCACGCGCGCCCCCCGATAAATGCCAATGTTCAATGTTCAAGAGGCGCTGAAAAGGAAAACAACCTCCTTAGCCTCGATCGATCCGAAATCCGCGAGCTCTTCTGCCCACTCTGCGGACTGGAACGAAGCTGGCGCTCTGGCCAGCTGCCTTTGCGAAGGGACGCCTGAGAGAAACCCAGCGCCTCTTTTTGCTGCCCGTTGTCACCAACAGTCCATCGCCCCAGCCAAATCTGCGAAAAAAAGGCAGGACGAGAAGGTGCGCCCTTCTCCACTCCGGTCGCAAGTCGCGCTGCAAGACAGCGGAAAGGCGGGAGTGCCGATAGCCACGCTCCAGCCACGCACCTGTCGCCCTAACTCTAGCGAGTAGGCGAGAAATCCCCGCCCCTTTCAGAAGCCGCTCTCCACACCCCCTTAAGCCCCTGCCGCTTGGCTCCGCCCCTCGCTCACACGCGCGCGCGCTCTCCCAGCGCAGGTAAACTTTAGACTCCCACTCGCGGAAGGGGAACGTAGGTAGATGTCACCGAGATCCTGGGCTATTTATAGAAGCGCCAGGCGAACGTGGCTGCTGGTGGGGGGAATTCTACCTCGCACCGGCCTCTCTCGAGCTGTGAAAGGACCGTCATCCTCGCCTCTCCTTACAACCACAGCGGAGCCGGGAGGATGGAAAAGAAACGGTGCCAAGGCGGTACATTCGTTGCGCTCTCGCTCTCTCTCGGCATTTCTGTCACGGCCCCCCTTTGCCTGCCTGGGAAGGATTGCAAGGCAAAGAGGGTCCTTTTTCTAGCCTGCGGGGCTTTTCGGCGATCCTCCCCCCAACCGCCCTAGGTTTTACTGGGGACAGGTCCTTCCACCTGTTTCGCAGACGGAAGGCTCGGGAGCCTAGAGGGGTGTGGTGATCATGGAGGGAGCCCTCACCTCTTACTCCTTTCCCGCACCTTGCTTCCCGGATCGTTCGCGTCCCGTTATTGGCCACCATCTCCTAGCAGCCCGGCAGCCCTTCTGGGCCGCTTCTCGGAAGTTGGGAGTGGAAGAGGGTCAGAGGGTCGCGCTTGGCGTGAAATCTTTCGGGAAGCTACTTAGGACCATCTGGTGAGTGAGCCAGAGGTTGCCTCGAAGCCCGGCCAGGGACCCATCCTTACAGAATCCCAGGTAGAAATAATTCAGTGCCTCGCGATGCCAAAGGGGTGGGGGGGTGTCATATAGTGGCGGGCTCACCAGAGGTTCTAACGGCAATGTAACCGACCAGGAGGGTTACCGGGCGGAACGATTGGGGCTGAAACCAAACGCCACGATTCCCGTTTTTCATACGGTTTTGGAAGCGCATCCACACCCACTCACTAGAGAACTCGTCCGCCTTTGTCTTGCCACCATCTTACCCCTAGACTGGCGTGCCCAATTTCAGTCCTGCATTTAACGGTCTGTGTCGCGTAGGCAGGCACAGTCGAGCAAGAAGATAGCCATTTTGCATCCCATGCTGAAAAATGAGTGTGGATGTGGATGTGTGTGTGGATGTCTGTGTGTGTGTGTGCGAAAGCGAGCCAGGCACGGAGGAAGGGAGAGAAAGAAGGGAAGGGAAGACTGCATGGCTCGCGCCAAGAAGCGAGAAGTCAACGTGGCTAAACCCTGATCCGTTAGGAGGAGAATGGCAGGTGCAGGTTTTGCCTTGGGATAAAGCACGGGGCGGGAGGGGAGGGGTTAGAGGTCTCCTAACGTGCTTAGACTTCTGATAGCCCTCCACCTGCAAACAGACAACGGCTGCCTATACATCAGCAGCCCCCTCTGCTTCTCTTGGGACTGGCTGGCCAGCGCTCGCTACAACTAGCTTTTGCGAAGGCAGCCACATTGGCTTGCCTAAAGCTCCAGGGCCTGCTTGTAGTTGGACTAGAAGACAATCTCAACACCACCATGTTGCATATTCCCAAACGGCCAGGCTGTAAACCCGAGCTAGAGAAGAGGCTGGCCAAGACCATTTTGACAGGGAGGAAGCGAAGCTCCATCTTTGCCCTCCCCTGATCGGTTGCCTCCTGCCCCACCTCCGCCTCCTTTTAGAAGCACGAAAGCACTGTCGTATCAGGTGGAGAAGGGAGGGAATAAGCTCGTGTCTCTTTTCCCCCTGCTCTTCTGACGAGCCAGGGAAGGGAGGAATCAACATGTCTGAATGACTCCTTAAAACCGAATCGCATTCCAAACAGCGTCTCTGGCTCTTTTGTGAGAAGCCCAGCGGTCGGTTTGTGCTATTAGTACAAAATTAGTTGTTTAAAACACGAGTGGCTTTTTTATAGTGTATTGGGGGGGGGATATTCACCAACCTCCACCCCACCCTGAACAAAATCTCCTACCTTGATTTGTAGAAGCAGAACCTCTAGGCGGACAGATTAGGGGAGTGAGCATGTTGGGAATATCCAGTCTCCTCTTCTTGCTTGCATATCCACATAAAGAAGGATGAGGTTTGGGGAGCAAATGGGGAAGGGGCGATGCCAGATGCACATAGAAACCGCTTTCTTGCAAGACGCCTCGACGCTGGCAATCTTGCGTCTGGAAGTGGTGCAAAGGCAAAGCAAGATATCGCCTTCTAAGATGAATCTGATCCAGTAGAGAGGAAAGTCGAAATATGCGGGATCCAGAGAGATCATTCCATTTTCTCTTTTTAAAGAAGGAAGGAAGGAAGAGAAGGAATGCGAGAACGCCACAGTGGCGATTCTTCTATTGGTGCCGATGATAGAAGAAATATATTCCTGGAAGCTTAGCAAAGCAGGCTGAGTTGGGGTGCCGCGAGGGTAGATTTTGGTCCTCCGCGAAGCATGATAATTCTCCAAGCGCCCCCTCCTGAAGGGAAAAGAGGGGAGAGGGTCGGTCTGAGAGGAGGGCGAGAGAGATCGAATAGCTCCTCTGTGGAGACGCTAGCACGTTTCGAAGAATGGGAAGGAAAACGCATTTCCCCACATGAGCCCACAAATAGAGGAATGGCAAACAGCTGTTCCTGGGCTATAAATATGTCAGAGATGCTCCGGCTGTGCCATGGCTGGGATGGGCACGAAGGCGAACTGGAGAAACGGGCGAGCTAGAAACCACCGAAGGAAGGAACTCCGTAACACACACACATGCACACATGCGCGCGCGCACCACACACACACAGACACACACACACACACACACGTACACACGAGCGCGTGCGCACCAAATTCAGCCCACCACTCGCGGGGAGCCGTTCAGTGGCGAGCGACTGCCGTTCCTAGCCCCATCTGCATTGCTGCTGACATGTCGGCGGTCTCCTCTTCCCCACCCACCCGCTTCTCCCCCTCCTCGTCCCACCGCCAGCTCCAGAGGAATGAATGAAGCGGGCGGGGGGCTCGACTCTCTACCGAGCCTCCCCGAGACCGCATTTGCTTTTCTGGAGAGGTGTGCGGACCGGGAGGGGGAGGGAGAGACGCACACGCGCGCCCGGCTCGTCACACGCGGCGGCCGCCAACCGACTCCCGTCGGCCAGTAACTGTTGCCACCAGCTGCAACGGACCTCCGGGAGAAGGACCGGAGCTTGGTGGCTGCACCTTCTTCCTCGGGTTACCTGTTAGCTGGAGGCTGTTCTTTGGGGGGGGAGAGACACGGACCAGGCTCGGGGAGGATTTGGAAGAGGGGGAGAGAGAAGGACGACCCTCCTAGAGAAGAGAAGACCCCATTTTGCAGCGACAAGTCCCTCTTCTAAGGGCGTGCGATGCGGGGGGCTATGGTTACCTCAGGGTTGCGGCGGAGAAGGGGGGGCTTAGCCCCCGGGCATATTGACAATTCACCTCAAGTGCTCTTGAGTTCGTCGGGCTGAAGCTCAGCCCCATTTTGCCCGAAAAAGGCTGCCTCGGGGCAAAGGCAGTATTGCCTCCGCTGCAATAGCTTTCAAATACACGCCCACACCGCCACAGCGAATGCCGCCGTTCTCCCCCCCCCCCCCCCCCCCCCCCCCCCCCACCAAAGAAGGGGGAAAACCCGGGGGGGGAAAGGAAAGAGAGAAAAAAGGGGCCGGAACCAAAAAAAAAAAAAAAAAAACTGGTGGCGAGGGAGTAAGGAGGACTCCCTGTGAGTCAATAGTAGAAGACAGGCCCGGAAGGGCGGGAGACTCACAAAAGCGACCTGTCACCCAAGGGTGCGAGTGGGTGGAAGTGGTGTGGGCTGGAGTTAGCCAGCTCTCCCCAATCGCCCGCCTACGAAGCCAGAGGCATTCACACACATCTACCCAATCAACCGGAGTGTCTATCGGGGGGGGGGGTGTTCACAAGTGAGCGTTGGAGGAATTTCTCCTCTGCCTGGATCTTTCTCTCCCCCCCCCCCCACCTTTCCTCCGCGTTATTAGTGAGATACTGGCTAAGGCAGCAATCAACGTCATGTAGCCGAAGGGCAAAAACACAGGCTTGTCCTAGCCTTTTAGCGCCTCCTACTGGCGACCGTGAAGAAAGCGCACGACGGGGCAAGGGAAACGGGGTCCCGTCGGACACGGTTCGGGGTTCCATTCCTTGCCTTCAAGAAGCCGAACAGATGCCACACCATCTGCATGGACAAAGCAAGATTTTTCTCCCCTGTTCTTTCCCAGGAAAAGCAGCTATATATTCTTGGAGCTCGCTGCCTTCCATGGAAATCAAACGGCGGACTGAATGGTAACAGGAAGAGGAGAGATACTGGCAGCTAAGATCCTTGTGTGAACAAGTGGTGGATTTGAACCGTGGTAAGAGAATTTTTTGCAGTAGAGTTCTCAGGGCTTTTTCTCAGGATTGAGTTAAAAGTGCCCTCTCTGCCGAATATTGTGCTGTCTGTATCATTGTGGACGAAGTAAGTAAAGGGGTTCATGGATTCATTGAGTTTGTTTCTTCTGCCAATGGCAACCAGACCATTGACAATCGCTTTCTTTCACATGGAGTTGGATAGGAGTGTGCCAAATTAGGTGGATGCCTAGAGTGATGGATGTAACTACCTATCAAATGGCAGGTGTTAAGCGGGGACATGGAATAAAGTGGGAAAGAGCTCCCCCAATGTTCCTCACAGGCTCTCCTCTGCACGTGTTGCCTGTCAGCCAGACTGGTTTTGAGCATGGCTATAGCTTTCTTCTGAAATTCAGATCTAAACTTGGGTTCAAGATTAACCTGGCTGACATGTAACAGGCAGAAGGGGGCAAAGTATGAAAGGAGTGGTCAGTAACAACAAAGCTCCATTCCCAACTAATGCTGCAAGGGAATGACACTGTTGCCAATGGATGACCAAGAATTCTGTTTCCACCCCATGGCCAGAAGTGACTGGTCTGGAGAACAAGCCATGCAAGAGCATCATGCAGTGGTAATTAGTCCAAATGAAATAACAAGGGTCATCACCATGGCATCTAGTGCTGCCAAAGCCATAAGCAAAGTAGTTGCACTAAGTGGTCATAACTAATTGTGGTTATTGCATAGTCACAGAAACTGCACTTGCCTGAAATTGATCTTGTGCGAACCTCCAAATGGAATAAAATAAAAATAGAACAAACTACAAAAAATACAACCCCACAAAATCCTTTATCAGCGGAAGCAGATGAAAACTTGTAATGCACTCAATGGCAGCAAAACTAGCAGTGCAGAACCTGGAAGTGTCTGGCTGTCTCTTCTAATTTAAACTGACTTTCTGTGTATCACTATTCTAGTGAGCTTTCAAGTGTGCTAAACCCAATAAGGAGCTTGCATAAGGCCCAATAAGTCAGGTAGTGCACAGGTAAGATGCTTCTGTGAAAACCATGTGCCTCGTTTCTCCTCTTGCACAAGCCAACATCACCATAGAGAGCTACAGTATGCCCAATGATTAAAGGGAAAGGTTGCGCCCAGAGCAGACTAATGTGTCAACAGGAGCTGAGCAGATCTGAACCCCTGACTATGTCAGCAACCAGTAATCAGTGTAGCATGCCAGATAATATAATCAGCACAATTTTTATTAGGAAAAGAGAAAAAAATATATAGCTAAGGATCACTTTGATTCAAGCATGTGTTAGGTAAGCTAAGGCAGTGTCATGAGGAAATGGCTGGGGAAAAAAGAGGTGGCAAGGTCTCTATAGTCTGTACTTAGGCACTTACCTATTTCTAAAGTACAGGCTGTTTGTAACAATGATCTGCTCTCCTGATTCTATCTACAGTATATATATATGTACACGTGTGTATGTGTACATATACATACACATATGTACATACATATATATATAGACACATACGTGTGTGTGTGTGTGTGTGTTTTCTGAGGTTTTCGCGGGTGTTTGTATGTAGGTCTTTGGTTATTCGGGTTTTCTCCCACATAAAATTGGAAGTGTCTTGGCGACGTTTCAACGAAGTCTCATTCATCATCTTCAGGCTGGTGTTTTCGGCTTCATGCTTCTAGGAGCAATGTGTGATCGCAGCTGTTTCTTCCTGCCAGTGGGTGTATGCACTGATTGGGTGGGAGCTTGGCTGTGTTCTGATTGGGTGGAGGTGTGTTCTGATTGGTTGGGGGCTTGGCTGTGCTCTGATTGGATGGGGGGTTGGCTGTGCTCTGATTGGATGGGAGTGTGTTCTGTTTAGGTAGGGGCTTGGTTGTGCTCGGGTTAGTCTGAGTTGCAGGGGGATTTGAGCTGGTGAGCTGCATTGCTGTTGTTTGGCTTCGTGTTCGTGATCGTGCCACATCTTCATGGTGGGTGTCAGTTTGCTTCATATATGGATTGGAAGGGTTTAAAGTGGCTAATGATGCAGCTATAGTCTGGCTTCTGGTTTGTGGTCATATATATATATATATCTTCTTCTGAAGAAGAAGGGTCTTCTGAAGGGTCTTCTTCACATAAGCCTGATGATGGCAGATGAGATTCTGTCGAAACGTCGCTTCTACCCTTTTAGGGATATGTTCACAATTACACAGGAAGAAACCCGAAATATTAACTGTACACACATATATACCCGTGAAAACTTACATAGATAGATAGATAGATAGATAGATAGATAGATAGATAGATAGATAGATATAGATGTGTGTGTGTGTGTGTGTGTGTGTGTATACACACACACACACACACACACACACACACATATATGCATATTCTTTCTAGCCAGGTTTTTTGTATCTTGCTGACAAACAGCAACTCTGTGCTGCTCATTGGGAAGACTCAGATAGCTATTTCTGCCTTGTAAGGCGTCATCAGTGAGCCACACCCTCTTCTCAAGTATCCTCCCTGTAAAGGTACAATGTTTCTTTTTCTTTTTCGTAGGCTTTTATGTGCATATTCTTTCTAGCCAGGTTTTACCTACGTAAAGTAAGATGTTCTGCAGCCCAGGTTCTGTGAAATCTCATTCACAAGTTTCTGGGCTTTTTGTATCTTGCTGACAAACAGCAACTTGTGCTGCTCATTGGGAGACTCAGATAGCTATTTCTGCCTTGTAAGGTGTCATCAGTGAGCCACACCCTCAGGGCTGGCTAAGGACAGAAATGCACAGTTGAATAGCACCAACATATTCATGAACCTCACCCATGCTGTCAAATGATCTCAGGTAGTTCTCAAGTATGACTGCAATTAAGTCCAGAATTACAGTCATAAGTTGTGCTAACCATTAAGCAGGTCAACACATGACCAACTCAATTTTGTGACATTTTTTGCAACAGTCATTAAGGGAATACTGTAGTTGTTAAGCAAATCCGTTGTCTGCAACAGGCATTTTTTTGCCTAGAAACTGAAAGTAAATGCTGGTAAATCAAAGTCATGTGACCATGGAGCCATGCAATGTGATCACATGATCATGGGGGGAGCCTGGCCATTGGAACCTCAAAACCAGGTCAAAAATATCTTTTTGGGGTCCATTATAAATTTGTATGGTTCCTAAGTAATTGGTTATAAATTGAGAACCACCAGTACTGCAATACAATCACTGTTCCAATTTCATGGCATACATATAATGAGTTAAATCAGTTTATAGTTCAATATGACTCCTGATGACTTCATGAATATCTTGTTTTCTTGGCAACCGTAAAGAAATTATTTGCTATTGCCTTCTTCAAGGATATTAAGTATATTATTGGAACAAGGAGACGAAAGAACAATATGATGAAATCACAGATGTTAAGGAGGAAAAGAAATTGCCAAAAACCCAAGAAACAGAAAAATCAAACTAGATGTCAGAACAGACAGAAGAAATTGCAAAAAAGACAAGCGAAACCAAAGCCAAGAAAGACAAAGATCTCAAGAAGGAACTTAATAACCAATTTCAGAGAGTTGTTGGAAGAGAGAAGATATTATATTAGCATATGGAAAAATGAGGAAAGTTTTCCAAAAGATCTCCAAACTCATAAGGAGGTTTCAAACTTGAATTGGAATACTAAACAATGCCAAGTACTCATGATTAAGAGAAAATGAAATAGAGATAGAAGGAATATAGTAAAATTCTATATAGCTGGGTATACAAATTTAAATAAAATAAAAAATAAATAAATAATCACAGCTAAAGTATCTTAGATTAGAAAATAATCCCTAGTTGAAGATTTGTAGTATTAGAAGATGAAGTTAAATCAGTACTCTGCTCATTAATTATTTGGAAAGGTATAGGAATTGTCAAAATATCTGAAAAAATATGGCACACACCAGAAGAAACAGTAAAATTATCCCAGCACATCTGAAGAACACTACAAGGCCAACACATTAGAAGAGGTCAGTCTACATACTGATACCAAAGAAAGGAGATTTAATGGTGTGTGCAAATTACTGTACAATACCTTTAGTTTCACATGCTAGCAAAAATAATGCGTAGATTACAGCCCTATATGAAAATGAAAATGAGAGGTTCAAGTCTGTTTTAGAAAATGCTGAGGAACCACAGATTATTGCTGATGTGTGATGGATAATTAAAGAAACCAAAGAATTTATAAAAATAATTCAGTATGTGCTTCACTACTTACACAAAGGCTTGTGATTGAATTTATCATGTCAAGCTGTCAAGTTAGGAAAATGGAAATACAAGAAAATATTACTGTCCTCCAGCATAGAACAGGAACTTGGTGAAACAGACTGGCTCCAGATCAGTAAAGGAGCATACATATTGAGGTAGGCTATGCAGATGACATTACTCTAATTCCTCAAAATGCCAAAAATCTGCAAATTCTATTCAGGAAAATCAAGAATCATACTGAACAAAATGGAACCATCATTAAGCATAAAAAAGGCCAAGCTATTGACAATATGTACAGCAACTTGCTTAGAACTGACAGTAAAGGCATTGAAGTAGTGAATAACTTTAGCTTTTTAGGATCAATTATTAACGGTAAAGGAACCAAAGTAAAAGAACCAAAGGAACCAGAAATATGCTGCAGACTAAAATTGCATAGCAATGAAGGCTGAGGAAAAGATACCCAGATTGCCAGGAGTTTACACCTACAAAGATCAAAATGGTGCAAGCTATAATATTCTCTGTAGCACTATATGGAAGAGACAGTTGGATTTAGAAGAAACAGGATAGAAAAAGCTCTGATACCTTTGAACTTTACTGTTGGAGAAGACCCTTGAAAACACCACGAATAACCAAGAAACCAAACAAATGGATCACTGAACAAATCAATCCATCTGATCAGGCTCAAATTATCCTATTTTGGACACCTTATGTGATTATACAGCTCCCTTGGGAAGTCTATAATGCTGGAAAAGATAGAAGGAAAGTGAAGAGGGTAATCAATAGCAAGGTGGATGGACTCAATTACAGT